TCTCACGACTCGGCCATTCTAACGTGCAATTTTACATAGTGTGACGGAGAATTTCCTTGCAAGAGGTGTAAGGATGATGGACTGGTCTGCACGGCAGGACTTCGCAAGAAGACTGAGTACAAGCAGCTACCCAAGGGCTACGCCGAAGTCCTCGAGCACACACAGTTCGCCCTGGTCGCGACGGTTCACAAACTCTACAGCATGCTCAGGAATCAGCAACAATGGGACCTTGGCGAACCAGAGCTCAACGATAGGGGACAGCCAGTCATCCACAACATTGCTTCCAAGCTTGGTTGCATACGCCCCAACAGCGATATCGACCTCCCTGTTCATTCGATATTCCCCGAAGACGAAGCTGGTCTGGCCGAGCTGGCACGCCAGCTGGAAGAGCAGCAGCAAAAGGAACACGAGATTGAGAAGACGGTCAAGGTCGAGATGGAGTCACGGTCGAGCTGCAACCTTTCTGACCGATCGAGCTCGTCAGAGCTGGATCACTCGGATTTTGAGGCCGACTATCGCAAACAGGTCTTTGGCAATAACAGCAACGTGACACTGTCACCGCAGAGCTTTGTTGGTGGCTACAACGAGTTTGATGTCGACAGCGTAACATCACCCGTCGATGCTTCGGTCATGTTTCCAGGGCCGCCGGCCGCCGTTGCATCTTACGCCCCACAGTGGGCCACGAGGCCGACATCGATGGATCTCACGACGCAACAGTTCCTCCAACAGTCAGGGGCTCTCACAAATATGGACATGCTCAATCAAGGTCTTATGGAGTCGGAATTCGGCACTATCAAGCCTCACATGCTGTCATGCCCGAACCCCGAGGTCATGATGGGCATGGGGGATCCCATGATGTACGGCGGTTACGACGCCGAATCCATGCGACTCTAAAAGCTTGAACCGCCTCGGGCGACGGAGTTTCAACGGCGTTTACCGGGTCTGGGGTTCTCTTTTTCCTTTCCATCTTCATCTATACATATATCTCACAACGGCGAAGACAGTCGGTTGGGTGCTGAGGGGCAATGGTGTTCACGGGAAACATGATTAGGATGAGCCACATGGGGCATGTTTGATGTACAACAGCGACAGAAGCACACTTTGGCAGGTCAGCAACATGGCCTCTGCATTATTGCGGGCAGCAAAGGGGATCGGCTCGGCGCTTGGTTGGGGTCCGACAGGCACATTCCCCCTCTCTTTTTCGTTTTCGTATGCGAGGAACCGGCTATCAGTCGGAAGACCTTGGCATGTGCATGATTTGGTGTTGCAAGGTATAGCATGAGGCAACTGCAATGGAGAACCAGAGTTCTTTCGCATATACCAAGTCAATCGCACTGCATCGTGTTGTGTTCGTGTTGAAAAGGTATCGTATGGCATCGCATTCGCTATCGCATTCGGACCCCACCCAGCCTCATCATGCCAACGGCTCAACTCGTCGACAGGCCAGCAAGCCACAGCATCGACGTACAGGCAGAGAAAAGGGCCCCCACGCCTGACACTGGCGAGGGTGTCAGGCGAGAGGCGAGAGGCGGGGCGCGAGGCGCGAGGCACAAAAGGCCCAGATCAGATCATGGAGAGCAGAGCGCATTCGGTCCCCAACACTGCAAAATTCACGAATGCGATGCGGTACCTTGGCATGAGGGACGGGGCTGGTGGTCGGGGCGGGTGGCTGGGGCTGGGGCGGCAATTGCAACTGGGTAGTTGGTGACATGATGGAGGGGCGGATGGAATATTGACATGCAACAACTCGGCTCTCCTCGCGTTCGCCAGGACGCCTAGATACAGAGAGGGATGCAGGTTTCGGATTCTGAAGCGAGCAAGCGAGCGAGCGAGGAGGAGGATCAGCCCCCCCCCCTCCTAGAACAGGCCATGACGCAGTATAGAGACTGGATGAATGGAGACATTACTCGCATGAGGTAGGCAGAGTTGATGCTGCGGGAGGCATCTCCGCTTCCCCAGCCTATTTTTCTTGTTCTCATGTGAAATCTTTTTGGTCAGGCCTACTCGACCAAAAACAAAAAAAACATAATGGGCATCAAGAGGGTTCCAGAAAAAAAAAACACAAGGGTCATCACTTCCGGGGTGGTGGCCAGTCCGTGGACATGGCCGACGGGAAATGGAAATGGGGACAAGGACGGGGGTCCGAAAAATTGGCAACGGGGCCCGCTGTCGCACCCACGACCCCGAAAGGACGATGCCAGGGAGGCGCAACGAGAGCGAGCGCTGGGGATAAATTT